GACCTTGTGGCTGCCTATAAATTCATCATGGGGGCACAGAAGGGAATTGGTGAGGCTGTACTCACCAAGGCGCTCCTGGGGGTCACAAGAAATAATGTCCATAAGCTAGCAGAGAGCAGATTTAGACTGGACTTTAGGAGGAACTTTTTCACAGTTAGAGTGGCCAAGGTCTGGAATGGGCTCCCAAGGGAGGTGGTGCTCTCCCCTACCCTGGGGGTCTTCAAGAGGTTAGATGGGCATCTGGCTGGGATCATCTGAACCCAGCACTCTTGCCTGCCTATGCAGGGGGTCATACTCGATGATCTATTGAGGTCCCTTCCGACCCTAACATCTATGAATCACTGAATGAGCAGATATTCATAATTCTGTTTTTATCGTTGCTGTTCAGTAGCTCTCCCCAGACGTTATTCCTCCACAGATTTTACTATCATTCTCATTGCAATAGTATCCAAGTGCATCAAACATGAATCTATCATCACAAAACTCTGTAAGATGAAGAGGCAACATCTCTGTTTTACAGTCTGAGGCGCAGAGTGATTAAGGCCAAATACATATATTAATTTGGGGTACCCATATGAGATGCTTTTGTTTTTAGAGTACTTTAACATTCTATAACACTTCATATGTTCAAAGCACAACTCTTATTGACTTCAGTTGTAGTTGTGTATTCAACACTTCTGCATTTTGGATGCCAGATTCTCAAATTGGGCATCCAAAAATTAGTAACTGTTTGTGAAGCCTGGTTTAAGTGACTGGCTCAGCGTTGCATAGGAACTCTGTGGTAGAAACAGACCTTTAATTTCCTTCACACTTTTCACCTTCTGCAGCAAATTAAAAGCCATATACATAATCACCTTTCAGTGCACAATCCTGATTCATCTCTTGAGCAGGTCTGTGCCTGCTTCAGATAAGGCATACAGTTGACCAACATGTGGTTTACACACAAGGTTGGAACCTTTTGCCATCCCTAGGAAATACCACTCAAGTCTGGCCAAGCCATTTGAACTAACAATAACTGATGATAATGCAGGACCAGCATAGACCAGCGCTTACAAAAACAGACCTTGAGAGTCTTCGTGGCTCTTGGCTGGATCATTCTTACTCTCTCTGTAGAGATGGCATATGCTCCGTCTGGTCAACATTAAAAGCTGTGAGAGGCTTAAGCATGTTCAGTGAGGGTGAAATCTGGGGATTTAGCTGCTAAAATCTAATCTCTGATTATGCATGATGTGCAGTTTTTAACTGTGAAGGTGTCAGGTAACCTAAACAATAGGCAGCACTGCCAGCCTCATCTCCAATAAGAAAGAATTCTAAAGAAGGATGTGTACAGATTTTGAGTAAAGCACAGGCCTAGAGAAAATGGGTTTAACTCCTTCGGCATCAACACTGCTGCATGTGTTTAGCTCAAACCCTGTTGCAATATTGCATTTTTTTTCTTTCTTGTGCACTCTTACAGAGTTTTTGGCCTATGCTCATTTTTAGCATGCTGACCATAGTAAAAACATATCCAACTTTGGATAACTGCACCTTGCAACTTTCTTTCCCTGCAGGTTTAAAACTTACAGCTATCATTGTCCCAGTCCTGGTAGTGCTGTGTTTGTTCCTATTTGGAATGTGCATCTATATGACCATACGCAAGTAAGAGACTTTACTTCTTTCTTATATAAAGCAGGATAGTTGTAGTTGTGTAAATCACACTGCTGTTTGCACACTCCTCATTCACTCCCATATGCCAGCAGTACTTCCTTGAGGCTGGAGCTTAACATTGTTTGAAAAATTTTCCTTTAAACAGAAACTGTCCTTTGGTGTCATGTAAACCATGTTTCTCAGTCAGTCGCATCCAGAAGTGATGTAGGATGGAATTCCTTATGCTAATTTAGATTCCTCAGCCTCTCTGCCTCCACCTACTGGGATATAAATGAATCTAAACTCTGGTATAAGATCCACACAGAGGAGTCAGAGGGGGTGGGAACAATTTTAGCCATGTTATGCCATACCCCTGTTGTTCCTCATCCTCTGCTTGTCTCTACTAATCCTTTTACAAAGAAGTTACAGCAGTTGAGAATTGGTGGGACAAATTTAAAGCATATGTTGGTGAGTGAGTAAATCTGAGCCACTATCCCACCTTTTGTTGAGAAAGTTGAAAGGAGGTGAATTTGATCAACTTTGACTCCCTTTCCACAATTTTCATTTGAACTTGTCAAACAACTTAGACCAGGGGATAGAAATGTTCGCATCGCCAGATGGAAATTTGGGGGAAGTGATATCAGCTCACCCTAACAAGGGCTCAGGTCTCCCCAGAGCATCTACTACAAACTCTAAAAACTATGCAAAATTGTATAATAATAATCTGAGCATACAGCCAAGAGGATAATGTGTGGACTGGCATGCCATTCTCCAGCATAATTTGCCAACATAAATCACAGGGTTTCAATTGCAGTGCCTAATGTCTTGAATGGACATGGAAAGAAACTTAGTTTAACCATTCCAGTTTATAAGCCCTACATTCAATAAACCACATCATCCACCAATTAAAAGAGCATGACAGTTCTCAGCTGGCAAATATGATAGTTCTCTCCACCAAAGCTAAGGCATGAAGATGAAATGCTGTGAGTGACAGACACTTACAAAAACATTCTTTTCCTTACAGGAGAGAAATAAAAGGAGTTGCTTATGGCTTATCTGATGCTCAGAAACCAGGTTAGTGGAAAATCATACTTCTATTCTCTCCTTTGGGGGAAGCAATAGAAAGGATTGAGCAATTAAATACTAACTGCATTGTGTTTTAATTCCTCCTCATTTAATATTTTTTATATTAAATTTGCCCTGTTCACCAAAGAATAGGTCAAATGAGACCACTACTAGTCTTACCTCAAGACAGCACCTGCAGAGTTAAAATGTTAGAAATGTACTTAACAAGTGAGAAATTATGTCTTAAGTTATTTTACCTTAGTGTTTTTTATCAAAGAAATTAACCACACTGAAACAGATTGCTCCTTCCCAGCCTCTTCCCCGTAGTATGGGGAACAGTCACTCTCCAAAGAAGCCCTGAGATGGAGGTTTTGATGTGTCTTTTTGTTTCCTCCTCCTGCCCCTCAATGTGATTTACAAAGCTCAATACTGAACTGTACTTTGTTCATCAAATCTGAACTGAACACTGGCTGGGAGATTTTGCTCTGGAGGTCGTTTGCAGAAACATTTAACATTTCACACTCCTTTCGCTCAGTTGATTAGGCTTTCTAGAGTGGGGCTAGGCTTGGCAATCTGGATCCAGCTGCTGTTTAGCCCTTTTTTCTAGTGGGGCATACACTCCTGTCAGTTATATGGAGGAACATCTCTCTGAAGTATAACTCTGTTTAAGAAAGGAAAGACTCAGTTGTCTGAAGGAATCTTGAAAACAGACCAATGCAGAATATGTTTTTCTCAACAGGTCTTAAAGTTTATACTTGTTAACAGAGGGAAGGCACGGTCACTGAGCTTGTCTTCCTTAGAAATTTTCATTTGACAGCATGTTTGTCAAGTCAGATTAACAAGCCTGAGTCCTAAAACAAGTTCCATTTCTAATGAAGACAAGACATATGAAACCAGAGATCTGCTTGCTTAAGTCAGTTTGCTCTCCCTTCCGCATTCCATAAATCCACCTCCTAAATGCCAGGAGAAAGCTTAGTTCCGTAATGAAAGAACATGGCTGAGATGTAGGAGATCTGAATACAGTTTCCAGTTCAGCTACAAACTCCCTGGGACATTCAGACAGGTCATTTAAACAGTGATTGTTTTCCCACTTACAGATTTCCTGCCTCACCAGAGAGTTGTGATGGCAAATTAACTGATCTGTCTTAGGCATTCTGATTCTGTGATAATGGGGGACCCTACTTGGAAACCAAAACAGAAGGCTGTTCTGAAGGGTTATAAGCATCTTTTTTTTACCATAGAAATAATGGTTGGTTGGTTAGTTAGCTTAACAAAACCTGTCATTTCTCTGCAAATTAACTGTCAAACACAAACACCCTGTTGCCAGTAACTACACAGTTTGAGCCCTTCTTGTCAAGAAATGCAGAAAGGAAAAACATTTTTAGTAATATTTATTTTTTACCTTAAAACAGCTGTTGATTTGATATTTCCCAATGATTTACAAGCAGTGTGGTTTTTGCAGTTTACTGTTACTACCTCAAAATACTAACAGCATCCACATAAAGAACTGGACTTTCTGATAAGTTCCAATCAACATATTTTAAAGTCGAATCACTCTAAATTTAATGTCTTCTACTTTTATTTCTTTATTCAAGGTTGTTGGAAACAGATCAAACAGCCTTTTACTAGACATCAGTCAACTGAATTTACTATCAGCTATAACAATGAAAAAGAGACACCGCAAAAGCTGGATCTGGTCACAAGTGATATGGCAGGGAACCACTGTGTAATTTTTGGTGCATTTATTTTGTTCTGGGTGTGTAGCATGTAATGGCAAGAGGGGCAGGTAAACCTGTTAAAGCAAAGCTCTAGCAAAGTGCACACAGTGGGACACAGGAGCTGATTTAAATACCCCCATGCCGTTGAATGAGTGAGACAGCAAACCACCCAGGAGATTTTTTTAATTTTTTGAGGTATTTGTTAACAATTTCCTTTAAGGACATTTCTCCTTGTAAAAAAGTCAGAGTTTAGGACAGGGGTTGGCTGAACAAAAGTGGTTGCCTGGAACTGAGGTTGGACATTTCTTTCATTCCTTATGATGGTATACTCCAAATAGAAATCAGTCACTTGAGGTTTTTAATCTCAGACTCCTCTTAATGAATTCACAGTTGACTCAAACCACTACTTGTATGTAGATTATTATTGAATTTTTAATGTTTCCCTCTCAGATTATCAGCAGCCTCTCATGATTGGAACTGGGATGGTAACACGAAAAGGATCCACTTTTAGACCAATGGACACAGAGGATGAGGAGAAGAGAGGTAGCCCAGAGATTGTAAACCACTATAGCTGCCCACACAGAGCTAGCCGCCATGAATATGCCCTGCCCCTGACCAGTCAGGAGCCTGAATACGCCACTCCTATTGTAGAACGGCATGCTGGAAGAGAAAAGGCTTTTCCCTCTGAGAATGGCTACAACGTGCCTGTCATCTCTTCAGCTCATAAACATTCCCTTTCTGCTGGCAGCTTCTCTAACCCATGTAGGTCTGACACCAGGAATGGGGATTATCAAACCCCACAGAATCTAACAAACTATGATAAGCCTAAAGCTAACAGCATCTTGACCTCTGTGAGCTATAGCACTGACTATCAGAAGCCACAAACTACTTCACCAGTGAATGAGGGTTACTCAACACCCAGAGACTCTCTAAAGCCAATAAACCAGACAGCCATGACGGCTCTCTTGTGATCTACTGAGCAAGAGCTATTTGCTGTACTAGTGAAGAGAGTGCTACTACTGTACATTTTCCAGAATGAAAAGATGTACATCATTGTTTTAAAGGATTCTCCAGTGGAAACTAGAAGAGAGACTGAACTCGTGCACATAATTTTGAAGACAAAAGTACACTGATAATCACTGTTTAATATCAGTGAAGACTCACATTTATCTTCTGTGATGGATCCCAGAATGTGATCCAGGTGCAATATGTGCAATTTGTAAATAGTTTTTATTTAAGAAGAATAACTTAAGTTTTCTTTAATATGTTCTTTTTGTGTGGAATTCAAATAGAAGAAATATCTGTTACAGAAATTTCTGTAAAAAAAATGCTCACCAGAACTTTCTTTTATCTGCTGTTGTGTTAACAGTTTTTAAAACTATGTTGTTCTCTTGTTTGGGTGGTTTATTTTCCTGATTGTGGTAGCTGGAAGTAAGGCATTTTATACTTCTGGGAAGGGTGAAAGAAATAAAACTACTCGAAGCATAGAATACTCACAAGAGAATAGGTGAGCAATTGCATATGATGTTCAACCAAATTTATCAGCTACCTTTTTTACAGCAATCGTTTGAATTTGGTTTCATGCTAGGATGTGATTTGAGCTGGTTATGGTAAAGAACAGTGGAAAAGACTGGGCTTGGTTCAAGCATTGTGTCTCTTGCTGTCATGATTGCTAATCTGTTGAAATATACAGAATGGTTTATTCATCTTTTTTTTTCAGTGGAGCCAAAATGTGAATTATGGCAGAAGACTGCCTTCAGATCAGTCTGTAGCTGGCAATATTATTATGCTGTTGTTAGAGAACAAATTTCTCCATGATAGGTAATGTAAATTCAGAATGTTTCATTGCACTTGCAAGTATTTTTTGTAAATTGAGTGTTTCTCCCTATGGCCATGCAGCTTTGTTTTATATCAAAATTATACGGTAAAAGGCCAAGAAGTTCTAGGCTTCAGGGGAAGGAAAAATACTCTCTTATTAAGGCAAAACCAGGCCACTAAATCTGATTTCTCTTAACAGCTCTGTGGGCAAGTCATTTATCCTATAGAGTTACAGAAGGGGAAACTGAGTAAAAGGGGAATATTTCCAAGCCTCATAATGAGGATAAATTATAAGAGCCTTGTAAAGCATCTTGAGGTTGTTTGCTGGAAGGTGCTGTAGAAGTACAGAGTAGATGTATACTGTTAATTCTGGTTATATATGGTCTTAAAACAGGCTTAAAAGGATTTTGTGCTTGTTTCACTCTGTGCATGTTTTGCAAACTGTATGAGTGCACTTATCTTCTCCTGGTGCTGAATTTAGAAATGTGGAGGTAATTGTGTGTGTGACTCCTGTGCACATAATATTGCAATTCCATATGTACAGACATTTGAAGACAAGAGTACGCTGGCAATTCCTCTCTACAGCAAGGGAATTATTATCAGTAAAGACTGCACATTTATTTTCTGTAACTGATCTCAGTGCTGTGCAAAAAGAAAAAAGTCAATGTGATTATGTCACCTCTTGTGTTACTGTAATATAGTTTCTGTGAAATGTATGAAACACCTCAGGCACTGAAGTGAAGCTGCAGCAGCCTATGTGCTAGACTGCTCTGGGTGGTATTGTTTACTTCTGGCTGTTTACATGCAGGTGTAAATAAAGGACACTGGCATTCGGTAACTAAGTCATGGATGGCTGGAGTCTAGCTCGGCTTTATCGACACCGCACGCCCACTCTATTACATATCCTGCAGGATGTGAAATTGGACAATCAGCCAGAAAGCAGTGTTCCTTATGATGTGCAAAAGTGACAGCTGTGCTGCTGTTATTTACATTTCAGATGTGATTTAAAAGGCCATGCTAAAAAAAAAAGTTTATCACTATGTTCCATTTAGTCTGGGGTTTTTTTTATTTGAAAGGAAGAAACAAAGGCTAACTTCCAGGCTGGCCTTGTGTAAGTGAATAAGAGAGAAGACTGTCCCCGCCACACACATGCACCCTACCAGTGGGCACACCTATGCCAGTGGGCACATCTATGTGTGCAGTTATTGGGGCTGAATAAACTCCAGTGCAATTTGCATCAGAGTTTATCGCTCCCAGGTGTAACATTTACATGTGCCCAAGACCCCAGCATGCTGAGGCAGGGCAGCGCATCCCCAGCTGGCAGGGGCCCCAGAGGTCAGCCTGCAGGCCCAGAGCTGCTGTGCCTTGGCTCTGGAGGGAGCTGGCTGGGGCACAAGGGTGCTACAGGGCAGAGCTAGCCAGCAGACAGCCCCCACACTGTAGCACCCTCATGCTGTATCCAGCCCCGGTCACAATCTGTGTGTGTATTGCAGCAGGGTAAACAACTGCATCATAGGATAGTACTTGTGTCAGGCAGTACTATCCTATGGCAGAGTTAATTAGTTTACTCTGGCCTAATAGCACTGCACATATAGATGGTGATGCTTTACTGTGGAACTAATTAATCAACTCTGCAGTAAAGCGCATGTGTAGATGCTCTCAGTGTGTGGTATTGGCACTCTGCCTAGATGGATAATTAGTCCGGCTTGATACTCCATAAACAAGCACAATTAATTAATCAGGCCAGCTCCAATTAAAGATAATGGGCATCTTCAAGGTGGCTGCCACTACCTAACTTTTAGGTTCCTAGCCCCTGGAGCTGACTTCAAAACCCATAGTTAAGTGCCCAGGCTTCCTATATGGTATGTGGGGAGAGCTGGGCACCTCTGAGGGATGAACCAAAGACATCCTCACTGATTCAGCTACCTAGAGCTAACCTACAGGAAACACTGCCATGCTCAAACAGGGAGCGTTGAGCCTAGGCTGCAAGGAAGACAACCCATACAGATAAGATCCAGAGCCCTTCCCTAAAGGTGAGCATCTAGAAGTATCCTTTCAAAGAACTGGGGGCTCATTCTTGAGCAGCCATAAGAGGAGGAGCAGGAAGTGGAGGAGGAGGAGATGCCCATCTTGTATATAATAGACCAGTGGTGAGAACACTCACTGAAGAAGTGTGAGGCCTGGTTTCAGGCCCTCCTCAGTTTGAGGGGATTTAAACTTGCTTCCTACTTCCCAGGACAGTACCCTGACCACCATAGTTCAGGCCTGGGTGAGTGATTATTCTCTGTGCATCCTGCTAAAGCTGAGCTATCACGAGGAAAGAGGAGTAGTAAGAAGAGGGAGCATGACTATAGCCTAGTGACTGGGACACATGGAAGTCCTGGACTCCAATGCCTACTCTCAGGATTGTTTAATTTATTATACATTAAAGAGTCATTGAATGAAAAACAGAAATAATAGTAACATCTGGGACCTTCTCTCTCTCTCTCTCTCTCTCTCTGGCAATGCTTTTGAATAAATGAGATGCAGCTGCTGTGTATTCTGCTCAACTCAGTAATGTTTGTGGATATTTAGGCATTGTTTGATGGATCAGGGCCTGCAGGCATCCCTCCTGAATTTCAGGATCCAAATGGGGCTTAGCCAAGAGCTAGACATCTGGTAGCTGAGAGCCAAGCAGGTCTAGGTATGCACATATGCTCAGGGAAGTTTCAGACCAAGAAGGGAGAACCTAACAACCGTAGGCACCTCCAAAGTTAGGCAGCCGTTAGGCAGAGATCTTGGGGATCACTGTTTTGGACTTAGGAGGAGGTGATTGAATGCCCTGTTGAGGTCACCTAAATCCTTCTTTGATCTGCCCGTAGTTTATTGCCAGTCTAAGATGCTTTTGGTGATGTAGTTATCAAACCCAGGCTGTTAGACAATAAACGGTCTGGCTTTTGGCATGTCTCAGTCATGCTTCCTACATCTGCAAAATGCTGCTCTATATTGGAGTCTGGGGTACAGTTCATGGTCAGATTTGCTTGTTCTCTTATATTCCTTCTGGCGTTCAAACACCACAATGTACATGTTCTTTTAGCCCAGTTAATTTTTGTTTCCCTAAGAAGTCACAGTAAAAAGGGTTTTAAAAATTACCTGAATGGCAGGGAGCATCCAGATGAAATAATAGGACTCTAAGGTTTCTTACTGCAAATGGACCATCTGTGGCTCCATCTCCACTTCCCATGCACAGCCCAAAGGTTAGGCTACTAGTTGTCTCACAACAACCACTACACTTCTGTGTTTAAAAGCTCCGGGGAAAGCAAAGCAGAGCACACATCCTGTGTGGTCTCTGTGCCTTGATCATGGTTGAGCCGGCATTCTTCTGTCACTCATGACAGCAATCTGCCTCAAGCAAGAAGAATGTGGTAAATCAAGTTGTAGCCTATCTGCATAGACCTGCATTGTATCAATGGATCTGGGTACAATCGCAGCATAGTTAACACCACTTTGAACACTGTGCATTTAAAAATTCTTCCCAGGATTCAGCATCACTGGCTTGTAAACTAGCCTTTGCCAAGTTGTCGTGCTTTGTGTTGAGTCAGTTTAACAAGGGCCAATTTTACTCTGATTCTGCCTTTTCTTATTTCTAGAGTTAAGGTAGAATTGAACTGAATTTGCAATTCCTTAGAACTTTGCCTCCAAGATAAGAGACTGCTCCTACACTTGAGTGTGAGCCATTGCAATAGAATTTGAGTCCTGAGCTGCTAGTATACAACAGTCACTTCCAATAGCATGGAACAGTTAACCCAAGTCAGAGTTCACAAGGTTAAATAATAAGTGAGCCACATCCCTAAGGGGCTAATTGTGCCCTTGAAGAAGTCAGTAGGAAAACTCTGACTTCCCTGGGAACAGGAGCAGAGACTGCCACTGCCCCTGTGAGCTTGTAAGCAACTGAGATTCTCTTAAGAGAGAAAAGCCCCCAAAGTAAGATACTTCTACCTTACCTACAGCTGTGAAGTCAAAACGACAGCTCAGAAATAGCTCTCTGGCCTGAGCTTCATGAAACTCTATTCCTCATAACATACATAAGGTGTAAAGACCTTCATCCTCATTTGGCTACAATGGGTGGGTGGGTCCAGTGCATATCTTAGATAAGTGGTGCCCAAACTTTTGGCTTTTTAGGCCAGATGAGTGGCACAGAGCCTGTCTGCAGGCAGGACCGGGCTATCTGGGCCAGATTGGGCCCTGGGGCACCACCCTCTCCCTGCTTTGCACACTGGGGTAGGGTCCCAGGGTCCTGGCACTGCCCTCTCCCATCTCCCTCTCCACTGAGATTGGGCCCTGAGGCCCAGCACCATTCCTGCCTGGCCCTGTGTACTAGGGTTAGGTACAGGATTCAGCGTACAGGACCCAGGGCTTCCCATGGGTCTAGAGATTTGACAGTGGGGAAACAGTGCCACCGCTCTCCTGCTTCCAAATTTCCAAGCCTATAAGGAGCTTCACAGGCCAGATTTGACCTGTGAGCACCCCTGGTTTAAATGATTAAGACCCAAACTAGCCTAGCCCAGATATGAGGAGACACACTACAAAGTCCTATTTGAATGAGGGGTCCTCTGGTGCTGCACACATACCTGTATGTCATGACAACTTCTATGAGATATCCTACGTCTTTGTGCTGCAGGAAGCTGAGCCACTCCATAATCCTTTCCAAGTAAATTGTGGAAACACTTGCATGGCCTGTCCCAGGCACACAGGGAGGACATGAAGAAGTCACTTCAGACCTTCTGGCACTTGAGTGATTTTGCTAGTACCCCTGTTGCCTAGGAGGCATTACTGGCCTCAGTGAAAAAGGCATCTGAGCTTTAATGCAAATCAAGAAGCTTAACCAATTATTCTGGTTGGAAAGCACCTCCAGACTCAGGTGAGAAGATTTTGTGGGTGGATGGGAAAAGTATTAAGACCAACAGCCAAATAAGAGCCGAAGCTTAACTTCGCTATGCTTTGGTTTCCAATCTATAAACTAGAAGGCATTTTTGAAGCTTCATTCATTGCCCAGAAGGAATTGGAGTTTGAGAACCACAATAGGGTGGTGAGATAGCAGTTACAACTTCAATTATTTGCTCCTCACTAAAGCAATATGCTTGTCTTGTCTTCCCTTTCTTTGCCAAGTCTTTCCAGCTCAATTAGTCAAGTCCTTCCAGCTCAATTAGATATGCCTCCGAAAAGGAACAGACAAAATTACAGTAAAGATCATTGTTGTCACATTTTTTTTTTAAATGGAGCATTTTGGATTATGACTTTGAGGTGGGGGGGAGGGATAGGCTATCAAAAAAGTAAAAGAATACATAGCCTTTTACCTACGGGGAATTAGTAGAAGGTAACAATAACCAATAGTAGTTATCTACGGGGAGCAGTTTTGTACTGAACATGAAATGACTTGTTCTCAGGTCATGTCTACAGAGGAGATGGACATCTGCATCATTATAATGCAGTTCTAGGTCAGAAAAGTGTATGAATGGTATAAGAATCACAGTTTGTGGGCACATTTACACATGCCTTACTGGATCTGGGGGGGGAATGCCTTACTGGATATGGTATTGGTGACGGGGGATGATATGGTAGGGGACCTACAGATCAGTGGCCATCTGGGGGACAGTGATCACCTAATAATACAATTCTTCATAAGACGTTGAGTGGGTAAGGTAACTAGTAGGGTGAAAGTGCTAGACTTTAGGAAAGCTGATTTCAATGAACTTAGGCAATTAGTCAAGGACGCACTGCAGAGTAGGAGTTTTGAAGTGATGGGAGCCCAAGAAGGGTGGCTGTGCCTTAAGGAAATGATCCTTCGGGCACAAAGGGAGACGATCCCGATGCGAGGAAAAAGAGGGAAAGGGGCCAGGAGGCTTCCTTGGCTGACCAGAGAAATTCAGGGCAGTCTACAGGCCAAAAGGGGGGCACATAAAAAGTGGAAACAGGGAGAGATCACCAAAGAACAGTATACCTCCTCTGCTCGTGCTTGTAGGGAGGCAGTTAGACGGGCCAAAGCTACCATGGAACTGAGGATGGCATCCCAAGTAAAGGATAACAAGAAATTGTTTTTTAGATATATAGGGAGTAAAAGGAAGGCCCAGGGAGGAATAGGACCCCTACTAAATGGGCAGAAACAATTGGTGACGGACAGGGGGGACAAGGCTGAACTCCTCAACAAGTTCTTTGCCTCAG